CATCACGAGCAATGGGGCCGACAGCAGCCTCGCAGCGACCTGGTGGCGCTGCTGTTGCAAAAACACCCCGAAACCGACAGCACCGACACATTACATATACGTAGCTGTCTATATACATATCTATATATAGCGCCACAAAAAAAGAAAGCGAAAGGGTCAGGTCCGACCCGGCCCCGGGGGCAGGACGGAAAGCGGTGCCGGCGGGGAGGGCCCCGCTCCCCACTCCCCTCCCTTGCACACTGCAGCTCCCGGCAGTTGCACTTTTGCTTTGTGCGTCGAGAGGGGTGGGGGAACCCGTTGGCGGCACCCGTGGGGGTCACACCGGAGCAGCCCGTCGATTCGGCAAAGGTAGGACTGGTTCTTTCATCCCTGGTTACCTTTGGTTCAGGCTGGTGCGTTCAAATTGTGCTTTTTTTTATTTTTATTATTGCAACAAAGACTTGGTGCCTCTTAGAAGCGCCGGGAGGGGACGGGGATGCCCCAGCAAGAGGCAGCAGGGTGCAGAGTTGCGGAGTTCACCACCCACCCCATGAATCTCCAAAAGTAATTGAGCAGGAGCGAGGACATGAGGGCTAAGCCCAGGTACGGGCAAGGAGCTAATATCTCCATTTACCCAAAGAGCAGGCTCCTCGAAATGCTCACTAGATTCTCTGGGTACCCGAGGGGAAGGAGGGAAATAGCCAGCCATGAAGTTTCAAATCGCGTATTCTGTCACAGTTCTGTGAATACCAAGTAGCTGTTTTTACAAACACCACCAATTCCAGCGATTCTTAACCTTGGCAAACCCTGCGGCTGCTCGTGAAGTGCTTAAGTGGGATCTTGAGGTGATCCAGCCCCACCTCAGAAGCACCGTTTACTCGTGACACCAGGTCTTGCTCGGGTTCATCTCCCTGCGTTCGTCTCCTGGATTTTCTTAAACGGCCGGTTCCTCGCAGGGGGCAGCGTGCTGACTTTCCACTGGCAGTTTTCCACCTCATTACGAGAAGCGGGGAGGGAGGAGGCAGAGTTATCGGTGCCACCACCGCCGCTCAGCGGCTGCACGGCCACGGGGCTGCGCGACAACGGTTTGGGTGGAAAACAGCGGCTTTGGGTGCTGGTTACCACACACGTCTAGCAGGGACATCGAGGGGGGCCAGGACGGGAGAAAAGGGGTGGAGGATTAGGCAAATACACAGCACTGCTGCTCCAGGTTTATTTTCCCTTTTTTTAAACTAGAATAAATATTAACAAGGGAGGACAAGAGCTTTTGCAAAGGATGAAAAAGCAGCGTATTTCACGTGGCATTAAACACAACAGTTTCTATTTCTTCCTGCACATTCTTGGAATTTACCCAACCAAAATCTCCCCGACTCGCCGCCCACCACCACAGCCCAGCTCCTCTTCCCAGTGGGCTCCAGCCCCACAGCCCCTTCCCAAAAAACTCCGAGCCAGAGGGGGGAATTTCCCTTGAGCAGCTCTGCCACTCCTCCCAGCACAGGGATGGGCAGAAAGGCAGGGAGCACGGGCAAAGCAGGGGCACGCACGTCACCGAGACACTTGGTTGCCTTAATAAAGGCCAAAAGAGAAATCAATGACAGAAAATTGAGAGAAACCCACCGACGGGACCCTGGGGGGGCTGGGGTAAGGCAGGCAGGGAACACAGCGTTTTTTTTGCTTCGTCAGAGAAAGACACCAGCAGCCCTGAGGATGCTTCACAAAAAGCACCGCGACCTCTGTGGGCAGATGTTACAAAAGGGGAGGTAAAAACGAGACAGCTCCACAGCTCACACAGCGAGAGGCAACGTTGCTCCTACGGAAAAGGGTGTAAAATGCAAATATCTGCCAGAAAACTGCCTGAAGGGAGGAAAAAAGCCTTTATCCTCCCCTGCCGTTTTTTAAAAGAACTTAAAAGCAATCCTACGCCATGATCAGTTTATACTCCTATCCTTTCTATTTTCAGCTGATACCCAAGGTGACCACTAGTAGTTATCTCCACCAAAACAGAACAGCAGCACTTCAGGTGACACAA